AAATAAAAAAATAAAAAAATATCCTACCAGTTGCACAAAGTTGTGTAAGTGGATTAAGTGAGTTTTTCGTACATGGAACATTTTCTCGTATAGTTATTTTTTGTAGAAATGGAGATGGTATTGATAAATTTGATTGAATCGTTAGAAGATCCCATCCTATTGTGACCAAATCTATATTTTCTAATAATGTTAAATTTGATAATGATATTGTTGATACACTTGATGCTTGCATATCGAATGGTGGTGAAACACGAACAAGTGCAAGATTATTAAGATAATTTACAGCAGAATGATCTGGATGTTTAATTATTTGAGATACTGGTCGAATTTGTGCGATTGTTTGATCTTCATTAGAAATATCATGTGTACCTGCTTTGATTGAATATAAATTTGGTAGCAATATAAGTGGTGGAAAACAATTAGCAGCAGTAAGTACAAATATATCAGAGAGAATTGCACCACCACATAGATGTGTTATAGAACTAAAAAGACTAAAACGTATTGAAACCATCCATGGAAACTCATTGTTTGATGCTGGTGAACCACCAAAAATTCTTTTTTCATCTTCTTGACAAACATAAATCTTTATGAATATCAGCAGAAATAATATTGAAAGAAACCTCATGTTAACGTTGCTTTTAAAAAATAAAAGAAATGAGAAGGATATTACGATGTGAATGAAGTTTTCATATGATCGATAAAAAAAAATATTTATCATTTCTGATCCATTCGACAAATAGAATATTGGTGACTAATTTTTTTCACAAATTTTTGTTTTATTTCTGATAAGTTTATCGATAATTCAACGGCGTAATACACATTTGCTTTTGTGATAATCATATTGATCTCATTTGACTTTAAGTAGAAAAAAATATATTGACAGTTATTACTAATCCTATTTTATCAAATATAAAGATATCAACAAATTGACAAACTAAAATATTCGATGGATTTCGCAATGCATATGCATATAAAACGTTTGAATGTTTGGATAAATAATCGATTCCGTATTTTCATTGATTGAAATTCGAAATCCAATTAAATTATGACAAAAAAAATGAACATTGTAAATCTTATAATGATCAACTAAACGTCAGGAAAAAAAACGCTGGAATTGACGATTTATTTCTCATTACTTGATTTTCATTTATCAGAATACTCAAATGTTTTTCATTTTGAATCAGAACTAATATTCTCATTATCTTTTCATTGGTTTTTTAATAATGAATATCATGTGAAAAAAATATCAAATTATCGTATAATCTACTATCGGTCATTCATCGATCTGCCGTTTTTTTTTATTTAGTTTACGAATAGATTTCTAATCAGTGGAACAAACATTCATTAAATCATTTTAATAATCTATGTGGAAATGATTGTTTAACTTCGAAACAATAAGAGATAAAATCGGATTCAATGATGACAAGAAAAACTTGACTGTTCTCTAAAAAATATATTTTGAGCAAGATAATGAGAGATAAATATTTTTGTTGAGCATTCTCTAAAATAGAATTGTTCTAAAGTACAAAGATAATAACAAGACATTCTCGACGGCAACGTTATCTCGTAAAATGATTGTGTAAAATTTTTTTGTACAATTCAGACAACTTATCATAATCAGTTCATCCTTTTTTGAATCGATATTTCAAGAAATTGTTCCTCTAAGCAAATATTTGTTATTAGAATGAAAATCAGTAAATGTGAAACATTTTCAAGCAGTCTCATAATCGGACTACTTTTTGACGGCCTGGCCTAACTTAGAATGGTACTGTTAAAAGTATATTGCTTTTACAAAAAGGATTTCTAAACGGTCGAACTTCGCCATCACTGCGATCTTTTATTAAAACATTCGAAAAAGTTTATTACCATAGTGATCACGAGTTATATAAGGTCAGATAATTTTAATACTTGCAAAAAAAACAGCATGAGTACTAAGTCAAATTCTTTATTGAACCCAACGACTAAGATACATTCGCGGATACTCGAACTTCTTGAAGACTATCATTCATTAACATAAGCTTTCACAAGTAAAATGCCCTTCTGATCAATTTCGAAGAGTCAGACCGATTACTTTTTTTTTTGGTTACAATGTTAACTTTAGTACACGGTTAACACTGTTCCACTTCAGGTAGTTGATAGTATATTCGGCCTTGTATGTAAATGAGGAATATCATTGAACTAAATAAATGCTACGCTTTTATTTATTAGCTAAATGAAACTTCCAAAATATTCGCATAATAAAGATTCATGATTGTTAGCAACTGCCAGGTGCAACATCTATATAAGAAATTTTGATCCAAAATTAGAATCAAATCGATTAAAATAGCATTATTTCAGTTAATTTTCGTGTTTTTGGATCGATTAATATGATTTTATCGATTGAAGATGTTTTTTTAAAAATCGATTAAGAAAGATTAAAATCCAATGAAATCTATCTTCAAACTTGAAAAATCAGATTTTTATTGTTTTCAACTAGTACCATTTTAATCGATGTGTTATTTAGACAAAAAACAACGATTAAAATTTGGTTTTTTCTGTTTTCTTACGTGGAAAAGCTTCCTGCAAAACAGAAACAATTATTGGAGCTAAGTGTTCCATTTCAAGCTCTGTTTCCAAGCACTCGAACTCCTAATAAATATTTATTTGAAATAAATGGATGATGCATTACTTGCCAAAAATGTCTATTTAATATAGTAATCAACATATGATATTTTAATTCATTGTTCATATGTTGGTTGCCAAAGAATTTTTCAATCAAACATGAAATGCAATAAATGAAAAATATTTTATTCATTTGAACAAATTTTAATGTGTAATGTGGAATTTTCGACCAGTTTTCTGTTTGGAACCTGCTAGTAAGATCGGTCATCTTCAGTACTTAATAACGATATCTAAACACCAATTAAAATAATAATAATAATAATAACCATAATGTGAAATCTAACATCATAACATATCCATAAATCATTAGCCATAAACATTAAAAGGGTGTGGGTGTGGGTGTGAGTGGATCTTGATTAGAGCCCATCGAGTCCAAGATTTCCGGGCCCGGACCCGTTTACAATTTGCCACACTCGTACCTGGAACCGGACCCGGTCGCTTAAATTTTTTGGATCTAAGCACGATGATAAATCAGTTTCGATAATATATTCAAAAAGTCTTTTGTTGTTTTTTTGTATATTTTCTAAATATATTCAATTTTTTTTTCTTCATACAACGAACAAAGTTTTGAAAAAATTCACAATACATTGTATGCATCAAAGTTTTCTTCAGAGCTGGATCCGGGTCCTACCCAACGGGCTCTAGTCTGGGTGCAGTTCTTCTGTTAATACATACCTGTGCCCATGTCCCAGACCCACATTCACATCCCACCCACACTCAAAAAACTTGAGTCTTACGAATCTAATTTAATTTATAGTTTTAATATTTATGGCTTATGATTTATGGATATGTTATGATGTTAGATTTCACATTATGGTTATTATTATTATTATTTTAATTGGTGTTTAGATATCGTTGTTAAATATTGAATATGACCGATCTTACTAGCAGGTTCCAAACAGAAAACTGGTCGAAAATTCCACATTACACATTAAAATTTGTTCAAATAAATAAAATATTTTTCATTTATTGCATTTCATGTTTGATTTAATAAGACATTCGTTTATTTTCTCAAATGTACTCTCTTTAAAAAAATGTCTCGTATGTTAGAGTATGTATTCATAGAATTGCTTTTTAAAATAAGATATAGTTGTAAGATTAAGATATAATTAAACATGTTAACATACTATTTCTGTTAGAAAATAAAAATATAAAATTGATGCGTTACTTCATTATCAATATTCATGTTTTCTACTTTTATTTCATTCGTTAGTGAACTATGAGAGTCAACGAGTTTAAGCTCGTATTCTAAATTATACATTTATTGAATCATTATTGTCATTTTTGATCCTAACGTGACTAATTTTTATCATAAAAAGAAGATCAACAAGTAAGAAAAAGAACCTTGAAAAACTTTGTAATCGTTTATTATATGTGTGTTAGAGTGAAAGAATAAAAATTCTCTGAGATAGATTTTATAATAACAAAGAAAAACAAAAAGTAAAATTTTTCGACCAATGATAAATCTATCTCTAACAAGCTACATTAGTTAACTGTTTCAGTGGAAAAAAAGTAAATGAAACGTAAGGAGAAAAATGTAAATTTACGATTCTATAAATACACTGACTTTTATGTAAAAAAAAAGACGCAAAATGTCGTTATCTATTGTGTGTAAAAAATAATTCCAGCGTAAAACATTTATTAACTACACTATTCATATATTTCCTCTGATGTTCAATGTTCATTAGATGACTTAAACATTAAGGTAGTAGTTATTGATAAATCTGCATTGAGTATTTATATTATATCATTTTTTACGTTAAATCTTTAGAAACAATTTTCGATATGGTTAATCAAGTTTTATGTTAAATTTTGCCTTTTAGATTATTAATTCTAACTATATCATTTTTTTTTCGCAGATCTGATATATATCTATGTATTCTTTGTTTCATCCAACCGGTGATAGATGTCTTGTTAAGTACATTATTTTTCTTGACAGATGATGAATAGAAGTGATACTTTTCTTAATGAACTATAATTGATACGCGTGCCTTATCATTCTGAGCATTTATTTATTAATACAATTGATGACAAGCAATAGCAGCAATGACTCAATTTCAACTAATGGTAGTGGGTCTAATGGAGCTGATTTTTCACGAAGTTCCATACCTGATTACATTCAACTGCCATTTTTTTCATTGACAATTATTTTTGCATTTATATACACAGCTCTCATACTCATTCGACGAACATTTCGCAGTAATAAACTCAATTGGTTGACCATCAATGTATGTATTATGAGTGCATTACTTTGTATTGCTATGTTGATGACGACTATCAAGCGATTACTGAGCATATCAAGTATTCTACCATGTCGTGTTGAAGGATTTTTGATAGATATGTTTGCATGCCAATTGATGTATTCACATTGTGTAGCTGCCGTTAGTCGCTTTCTCACAATTGTTTATGCAAATAAACATATCTTTCGTTCAACTAGATGTTTATGGTGTTGTATGGGTTCTGGTTGGTTTATTTCGATTCTTGTTGCTTTACCTTATCTATTTGTGGGTGGTTTTGCATGTTCGAATTCAACAGAAGCACCTTTCTTACCCTATTACACTCTTATTAGTACTCTTATCTTGCCAGTTATAATTGTTGGCATCTGTAACACTCGTATTTTACTGTACGTACGTAATTCCACTCGCCAAGTACATACGGAAGGCAATCGTAGTAGAGTATCACATGTACGGGATGTTCGTTTACTCAAAATAATGATTGGTACATTTATTATTTTCTTCATAGGATGGGCTCCTGTCTTTTTAATGCAAATATTTGGCCAGAATAATGTTATTCCTTCAATTGTTGACGCATGTTTTCAAGTACTTCCATCATTGACTATGCTGTTTGATGTTATTTTCTTAATATATACCAATCAACCAGTACGTCTTTTTCTTAAACAATTAGTCATTCGACAACCTCAACATTTACAAAATAGACATGTTCGTACTGCAATTAAACAGAATATTCATACTATTCCGAATCATTAATATCTAATTTTTCAATGAAATCAATCAATTTTTATATGATCATCATCATTCAAGCTATCATATATTCTTTTTTTTTGGAGCAAAACATTAAACTAAAATATGAATTATTTCTAGACAATGTTTTACACACTATGAACTTATTGTATCATAATTAATTTAATCAATAAAGTGTTTGTCATCAATATCATTGTTTTTAGAAATCTAAAAAGATGTACTTATTTAATAAGAAAAAATATAATTTGTAATTTATCATATAGATTCTTTGTGGATCTATTGAACCAACAGATAATTATTCACTATTAGGGTTATAATACAAATCATTTTGTTATTGATTAGACACGTAAAAAGAAATACTTATTCTATGTTGTAGAATAACTAGAATATTTATTTCAGTTTGTTGAAGACAAATTAAGCCTTCAATCATGTGAAAATTTAAGCAAAAAAGCTTGTTTAAAGTAGCTTATATTTCTCGCTGAAAAGTCCATATTTTAAGCAGCTTATAAGCGCTGGATTTCAACGAGAGAACATTTGTAGATGATCCGTTCCTATTGTCGTCATACTGTATCTATATGTAGAGAATCACGGAAATACCATAAGCTCCAAAAGATGCCGACTCCTCCTTTCCATATTTATTTGAGATAATGACTTTTTACCGAACTCCTTCTGGACGAGCAGCTCTCGAAAAAAAAAATTTTTTTGAATTTCGATCTGCAAGTTTGTATACATGAAGGTCTCACTTAAACTATTTCATATATTAAATTTCATCATTTTTGAATATTGCATTGCCAGTCAAGGCATGAAAAGCGTATATATTTTGAGAAACTTATATCTTGGCAATGTGATATTCAAAACTGTCGAAATTTAATATATGAAATAGTCTAAATGAGATCTTCATGTTTACAAATTTGCAAGTCGAAATTCAAAAATACGTTTTTTTCTTTGTGGAAATTATGTTATTCTCGTGATGTTCTACATATGGAAGCACTATGCTGAGAAATGTAGCGATTCGCTAGGAAATATTATTTCATAAACAACACAAGATCTGTTTACGACTTACTTTTTGTAGAGGGTCAATAGTTCTTAATCGTTGGGCATTCGATGTTAGCTTCGAAGGCAATTAGTTGGCTAACAATCCTTTAATTTAATGTTTCTGTGAAGTTCCATGAACGGTATAAAGTGGCAATTAATTCACATATTTTTGTACAATATATGCATCGGGTATTCGAAGTTACGAGTCAAAAGTATTCTAAGTTATATGAGTAAACAATGAAACACAAAACAAGCCAATAGCAACGCTGTAGTGAGTGAATCACTCTGTAACCGCCTACAATGCAATATTACTTCAAATCTTACTTGAATGACAAATGTTCTTATCTATAACACACACGATCAAAGATTACAACTCGTGGTAACGCTTAAATATGAGAAAGATCACAACACTTCCCAATGCTTTTTATTGTAAGTTCTGCGAAGCGCTTAAATACAAGAAAAAACGCAGGACTATTCAGCGATTTTCAGTTCAGATGCTGTAAAATGCTTAGAAATAACGAAAACCATAACACTTTTACAGCAGTGTCCAAGGACTGAGAAATAGGAATTCCTAATTTCCAGAGGAATTGTCAGCGTAGCTATGATAATTCCTTGGGAAAATGGAAATTGACCATTATTTCCATCACAGTTCCCTCATTCACTAAAGTCAAGATAATGCTTTTTTGCAATAATTTTTCGTACTCATACGTTCATGTGCACAAATTTCTTGATGAAAACGAGTGTAAAAGTAATAAGTACCGTGGATATTGTATTTTTTTAACTTTAGCATTCAAGGAACTGTCAGGGAACTGAGTAGGAATTCCCATTCCTCAGTCCTTTGACACCCCTCCACTTTTAAGCGATATGGATGATAAGCACTTGTAAAACCTTTTTCTAAGCTCTTTTAAGCGGCTTTCGGCAACTTGTAGCAAATAAAATTGAGCGGTTTATAGTAATTTATTGAAGTGTAAGCTTTTCTAAGTCGCTTAGACATAGATTATAACAGCAAAAATTTTCACATGGGGATTTATAATCACGTAGTGAGAAAAAGCATATTGTAAAATATTCGTTTGAAATTAAAAGAACTTTATTTGTAAAATTCTCATAATCCTTGATTCTATCGTTCACCTCTATCAGTATCGAATAAAACTTCTTTTTGTTAGTATGTCTGATGTTTCTCTATACATCAATGTTACTTTAGACAAAGTTATAATACAGAAAAACATTCTAATAGTAAATTATATCTATATCTCTTCATTGACAGTTATTATCCATTTTGAATGAAGTCCAACTGCTTTCGCATAAAGTAGGAAATGAAACAATCATGTGATATGAATGAAAGCTGTTTTATCTTATGACAACTTTTTAATATGATCTGAATGAAAAGTTTTATGATAAGATCAACATATTCGAAATGCTCTATGCTTTATATGTTTAATCACATTGCAAAATTTGAAAACTATGCTTCAAATAACTTCAATGATTAAATTATATGTTTAATATATCAAAAAAGAAAGCACACCCTGAGAGATACACAGTCGTGAAAAATCCAAGTTGTAATAAGTAAATTTAATGTGACGTACACTTTTTTCTCATCATCTGCGCTTAATCTGCACTCTACGAGGACTATTTGAAGAAAAAGAAAAGAAGATATGAGACAATCAGACAAAGGAGAATGTGAACTGTAAAATGAAGATTTTTGAAAATTCACAACGAAGCTCGTTAACAAGAAGTATTACTCAACATTAAAATCAATTACCGAGGATATTATATTAGGTTAAAAAAGTACTAACTAACGAGGGAACATATTCAATTGTTAATTGCCGATCAAAGTGATATTTTGCTCATAATTAGAAGTCAGTGAGACTAGAAAAAGTCTAAAACAATTAGTTCTCACTGACCTCATTTGTTGAGTTATGATGATATTGCCTGATTTTCGACTTATGATAAGTTATTCATAGAATAATTAAAAAGAATAAATTTTCATCTGAACTTCTACCCGTAAATAGGTCTGATGATCGTTAGAATATTCTGAAAGTTTCAGCCAAAACGGATGGTTTCTTCTTGATGTATTTGATACTGAAGAACAGTTGTTTTCAATATTCAATATTTTAAGAAGAAACCATTCGTTTTGGTTGAAACTTTCAGAATAATCTAAGAATCGTGAGATCTATTTATAGGCAAAATTTCAAGTAAAAATTCCTTCTTTTTGATTTTTCTACGAGTAGCTTTTCATAAGCCGAAAATTCGACGAAATATTTATAACTCCACAAGCACGGCGTATGGAGACAAATCTTTTTAGACTTTTATAGTCTCAATGAGTTTTACTCATAAGCAAAATATCATTTCGATTGGTGATTAACAGTTAAATATCTTTCCTGGTAAGTCGAAGTCCATCAGACAAAAGTTATCTCTGAACACGATTCTATAATGTCATAGGTAGCCCATGACTTATCGATTTTTATTTCTATATGTAAGAATATTGACAATACAATTCAACTTAATTTTATTCAGTGAAGTAATAAATCTAGCAATGATTGATCTTTCAAAAATGACCTAAGATCATCAAAGAAATGACCTATGTAATCATATTAGAGATAAATATAAACAAAGATTTTTCGAAAAATGTTATTTTTAACTTCAAGATTTTTGCTAATTTACTATGTCTAAAATATTTATATTTTTCATATTACACTAAGTTTTTATATTTCCTAATCCTCTTTCTTATCTTTCTATTTTGGTTCATTCCCTACGGATATACATAAAAAATAATTCATTCTTTAACAGTCTTGTTACAAACACATGTACTGTGTCTCATTAACTTATATACTATGTGACTGATTCATTGACCACTTGTTGCGATTAAAATATCGATATTCATCCCATACATCTCATTGCCGAAGTAGCACAAAAACCATATATTAACGCAGTTCACTACATATGGTGAAGATAAATACGTCAAAAAAAAAATGGTTGCTGTAGTCGTCATCAACATAGATCTCTAAGCCAGGAGGAAACAGCAGAGGCTTCAGCCTCGAAGTCTTATGAAATCTTAAGAAGTCTTTTGCAGTCTTTGAACTATAGCTTTTAATATATCTTAAACTTCCATGAAGTACGTGAAGTTTCTTGAAGCTCAATTAGAATAACATCGCAAACGATACTCTGATCCATTTATTTCAGTTAACCCTTTAGCAGCCGGCATAAGAGAAGGAAGAAACGGTTTTTCAGAAAATTTATTAATTTTTCTATGGAATGATTGTATAGTATGCCTTAACAAAATGGTAATTTGGAAGGCGCATGGTGCCTAACATTTGTTTTTAGGCAAATACTTCTAAAAAACATACATTATGAATGATTACTTGAGTTCACGCAAAGATGAGGCTTCTAACGCAAATATGCGTCGGCGGCTATCAAAGGGTTAAACACAAACAAGAGTTGTATCAAGCTGGAGATCAGCAGTGGCATGTTACAATGAAGGAACGTCATCCAACCCCATGAAGTCACCATGGTTCGCGTTTTTATGTGAAATAACGCAAGCCAATTTTTTCGGAGTTGCAACAAGTCTTTCAAAAGAACCTTGCAACTGCTCATGGTATTGAAACAAAAATGCGTGTATCAACATGAACTAGGAGATTATGGGCGGTACTCATCGTCTGTCAATCAATAAACGCTAGCGTACATAAATTTACGAAATAAATATGATTGTTTTGTAACAAAATATATAGAGCACTACAAAAGTTTTTTCGTCCGGCTCTCTTAGAAGACTTGACCAAAAACTAACTATACTGCTATAATGCCCAGAGATATTTAGGATTATGTGCAAAATTTCAGACTTCTAAGTCTTGTTCTTTGTTGTAGTCTATCATTTCTTTCGTACTAGGTATACGTGATTTCTAGTATAACATATAACGGGTTTAATGGTCGCGTTTTGTATACCAATTTTCAATCATTTAATAGGTTGTATGAAAAAA